TTGAACCAATTGCAGAAAAAAACACCTAAATTTTTTTAGCCAGTACCATAGAACGAATGTAAATGCATGATTGTAGTTTCAGATTACTTCCATTTAAGTAAAAAAAAAAAGAAAACAAACACAGAATGTTACAAACAAAGAAATGTTCTCTGCTTAGAGTAATCAAGAAATCTATTGTGTTATTAAATAGAGTTTGTCGAAGGTAAAAGCAAGGAAATTGTCTGCGGAGCATTTTGTATTTCTTATTTTAAGTAAAAAAAAGTGTTACTGTACGCTTTGCAGTATACAGTAGAGCCCTGAAAAAATAAATGTAATTTACGATGCCAGCACTCTTTTGATTGAACTTCTCTTGAAGTATGAAACAACTTCAGCTTTACAATCGTCTTCTGTTCTATTTCTACACTTTAAACACAGCAATCTTCCGCTTTAAACTCCTACCTCATAGTCGCATTTACGAAAAGCATATCGATTTGTTTTATCAAAAAGCAATTTTAGGCTAAACATATACTATTTTTCGTTGCGCTTCTTACCTATCTTATCCAAAATCGGAATTGTTTTATTCTTAAGTTGTCTGGCAACGGTAAGAAATATATTATTGATTCATGCACTAGTTTATGGCTAATACAAGAATCAATACATAATCATGTCTAGCATTCATAAACAGAATTAGTGGCTGTAAAAAATCAAGCAATTTTTTATTTTATTCATATAGAATATCGGTTGATACGCAGTTTTCTTTTACGCTGCTGATGTGACGCCTATGAAATGAACTCAGTCTAAAAATAATTAGAGATAATCACATATTACAAATAAATATTGCCTTAGACAAAATTATTATTTAAATAAACAGCTAAGCACTTCTTTGTTTAGCAGAAACGCAGTAATGGAAGAGCCTTTGTAATTGACAAAGCATTTTTGTTTAATATTATGTAATAGGAGATTGTAATCATTTCAATTTCTAGTAGGAAAACTAATTTATCAATCTGAAAAATCATAACAAATTTAGTAGTTATTCATGTCTTTTCTTCCCTCATATTTTATATATAGTTTAGTTTTAAATTCATAAATACTTTGCTCATTAAACTACACAATCTGATCTTTTAAGACCTTATTCCTGTTAGGGATTCATTGCATTCTTACGTCAGAATAGGATTTGTTAAACATTGGCTCTATGAATTAAAATTTAGTATCAAGAAAAATTAATCTTACATTCAGAAACACGTAATAAACACATCAATATTGTTCCATACTGCTTGTCTGGAAATTTCAGTATCTATATTGCTTCTGCCGATATTATTGAGAAAGGTTTTTAAATACAACGTTGATTTCTTCCACTTTTCAAAATTATTAATTCTTGGCGTGATGACTATTGGTGCCATTTTCTACCATTACTGGCGTTGCTTATTTTTTTACCTTCTTTATATAGTGTCAACGTAGCTGACAGTAACGTCTCAAAATTTATTTTTGTCTCCATTTCGGTTAGTTGAAGGCGGGAATTTTAACTTAGTAATAGCTAAAATTACTAAAAGCACTTCTCCATTCATACTGCAATTTTAAATATTTTTTAGATTCTACTGCATACATAATCCATAATAGATAGGAAGCATTACATCTCAGCAGAAGGAGTACAACATTTATCAGCTGATGAGTAAAGGTTACAAAAACAGCCACAGCATATATTTTGCATTTGCATCTGGGTTGTGCTGCAATGTTTCGATTCAAGCGAATATTTCTCAATATAACTATTTGGATAATGTTAGGCGGCGCGGAATGGCTGACTGACTGGAATGTAGTCAAGGTCGACGCAAGGTTTTCAGGGCTTCTTGTTCCATGCAATCGTTGGTGGAAATTCAAAACAGAAGCAATTCTTTTTTGACCTTTTCCACAGAATATATTTGGATTAAAACACCTGAACTAGAGTATTTTGTATCATTTGCGAATAGACTGTGAAAGCGTGGTAAAACCGGCAGGTATAACAAAGAATTTTCATCTACTACATTTCCATTTCTTTCATGTATATTCTGCATAAAATATCCAGACCACAGCTTTGCATAAATTCTTCTCGCAGACTAATACACGCAATGTATTGAAATCCTTTTAATATAAATTACGTGTGTTTGTTGTAAGGAAAATTTTGAAGAGGTGAATACTTAATTTACTAAACATAACAGATATGAGAGACCTTTATGTCTAAAATATCACCTTATTCACCATCCTGTAAATCTTAAAGAAGCGGAAAAAATATAGTATAACTGTGTTGGGGCTTTCTCACTGTTTATTTGTACGCATGGCCGTGTGACTAGGGTAAGGAGGAAGGAGTTCCACATTCGTACTGTCACTAAATAAATGTCAGTATAAAATTTAACATTCAATTATCAACATTTTTGAATTGCAGAGTATTATCAATCAAAATTTCGTGCAGGTACCGACTTCAAATAAAAAATTAATTTATATTTGAATTTTTTTCCTTATGTTAATATTACTTTCTATTTTCCTTTATATTACTCACTTTATGTTATTATATATACTACTGCATACGTTTTAATAAATATTCAGTTTAATTATCCTTTTGATGTGAAACATTTCATTTCTGTTGTTAGTGATTGAGTATTTCAGTTAAATACGGAGTGTTAATTCTCGAATTTCACGCACCAAATCTTCCAGTAAACGATATTTACATAAATTAAGTTCATACTTTACTTCTAATGCTTAAACTATTTTTAAACATGTGTTCAACTACCGTTATTTCATTACGAACAATTTTCAAATTTGCTAGATTTATCATCCTCAGTACAAATAGCTTACAGTAGGACGGTCTAACAATTCAACAGTTTCTTTAACACTCCTATTGTGTTAGACCAAAAGTGAAAACAGCAAAATGAAAGAACGGGTTAGTTATTTAAAATAATTAACAACAATCCGACCACCTGCCTTAAATGCATAACTATGAAATTTAAATCCTTTAAAATAAGACACTTGCTTTTATTCTTGGTTATTCAGTATAAGGAGTACTCACCAACTTTGAGCAGTGATAAGGATAAGTGTGGTTTCGGATCAATATTAAAGACTTTTCTATCAATTAGTTGGAGTTACGGTAAAATTTAAGAACAAGATAGAAGTTTTCACATAACATGGCACGAGTTGTAATTAAAATCCTCTATATTTTTAAACTCAGCTTTGGTAGTTTTAATTTGTATAGCTTTCTGATCTCAGCGAACATGCGACATGAATGAAAAGAGCAGAGAGAACAGTGTTCAAATTAAGCTTAAACATTTGTAAGAAATGAAAATAATTGTCAAAGAATAAGCAACAGGGAAAATTAATGCAATGCAACGCAATATCTTGCTGATGTAATTATTAATTTGCGATTTATTTTAAAGATCAGAAATACTATATTAATACTAAATTAGGAAACGAGTGAACTTTTAAAAGAGTTCTTGTATCTATTAAATTCACCTAAAGTATCTCAGTACTTTTATGAAGTTGTAATGCATTCCATAAAAATCGCAGACTGCATATAATTTATATTGCCACAAAATGCAGAATAATGTGAGTCACTTTATTTAATTACGCATTTAATATTTTTGTTTGTTTTGGTAATCGCCATACTAGCTTGCCGAGTTCATTTTATGAAGAAATAGTTGATTTAATGAATGGTAAAATGTAAAGATGATTGTAAAATTTCTTTATACAGAGTAAAAGGAAACTGCAGCCCAGACGGGAAAGTGGTTAGGTACTCTGACTGCCATATCGTAGGGCACGAGTTCGAATCCTCGAGAAGGCATGGATGTAAATTTTCTGTCTGTTCATACGAGGCAATTGTGGACCACTTCTTAGGTACCCCCATAATAATGCGACAACTGCTTTAGGCATTAGTAGTGGCCAATGTCTATGATAACTTGTACTCGCCACTGGGGGCGTATAAGAAAACTAAGTAAGGTAATAAAACAGACGCACTTTACTTAATTCGTTATTAACGTATTACATCATATGTAGATAAAGTTTCTTGTAATATTTTTAGTTAAAGAGTGAGTGAGTTTACACATTTATAAAAACAAAAACAAAAAAATATCTTTCCTTTTTCCTGCATATATTCAGGATAAAAGATGAACGCGTTTTTCACAGATAACATTTACGGAGGGTTAAAATCAAGTTACTTCATCACTATTGGGCCACGGTTTATCTCTAAACATTACAGAATTTAAGGTGATTCTGACATGATTGACTGAAAATTATAAATTCCAGTACATACATTCATAGGAAGGTTCTTAAGCATATCCCCGAAAAGAAGAGCAAGAATTAAATATAAGGTATGCCACCAACATAAAATTTTCTAAAGCAGTTTCTGAGAAAATCTGTAAATGAAACGTTTTCTGCAGTGAACGATGGAACTGAAATTGCAAGCGAGAAACGTCTTTTGCAGAGAAACAAAAACAAGCGGCTTTAATATTGCTGAATCGTTAGGTAATAGTCGTGTAGATATTGAAATTATTAGATATTTATGCTTTCCGTTTTAATGAAATGTCCAAACAAAACTGAGGTTTTCTACTAAACAAATTATGCACAATTCATTGACATTCACAGTCTAATAATTGATATGCTGTTGGCTGCATCATATTACAGCCATCGTAATTTTTATTCTCGATTCTGCATTCTCAGGTTCGTTCAAAGAGATAAGTCATTTCATGCCTGTCCTAGTATTATTTATCCTTTTCATTACTCATAATTGCAATATATACTTCTTGTCAGTCGCTATTCCTCATTTCGCTTCTGAGTCTGACCTAAAGCTCTCCAAGCACATTCTATAAATATATCAACAATAAAATTCGAAAAGAAACACTTTTGGAAACACATTTACGCAGGAATAAACAAAAATGTAGTTACAAAAGAAATATTCTTTTTCAGTAAAAGGGATTCTAAAATCTAAGTTCAGAATTTACGTAGTTTATATAATACAAACATATTCACTCCTAGATGTCCAAAAATGCAAAATTACTTACCTCCTTCAGCTTCGCATACCAAAGTGACATTCGAACCTTCATCCACTGGTCCAATTGTCTCGTCAATTCTTTGTCCCCTTTCGTCCATAATATTTGCCTCTCTCGGAGGAACTGGAAACAAGAGAAGACAGAACGTCACTAACATAAATTGCGGAGCATAATTTATAAAAGCATTTTGGCAACGCACTGGAAGTGCCACTTGAAATGCTTAACTTAAAATAACCAGTGACTAGGAAAGAGACGACTCAAATTGATCGACGCGTCACTTCGTTTTCGAGTAACTTGCGAATGGAAAATGGAAATCGGGAATTGTAAGAAAAGGGTAAAATTCGGGAGCGTTGTTTTGCTTATTTTATTATTTCCTCCTGAAATTGCTTATTTTATCTGCTTCTTCGCCTGCCTCTTCGCTTCTTAGTGCCAGGCACATTTTATCACCGTTCAAGGAACTGTGAGAGTAGCTTGAAATTTCTTATGCATTCATGAAAGCAATTTCTTCGAGGTTTTCCATCAAATGGTGAGAAAATAAAATGGATGTGAATGGAAGTAGTTGAAAATTTCATCATTGGATTCCCTTACAAATAATTTTTTGGATGTAAAATATTTAATTTTATAAAATATTGAATGTTCGCAAAATTACTTTCTTGATTTCACTTTGTTGACAACATGATAATTTTTTACGGTTGAAAAACATAGAACTATTCTGTTGCCTTAATACTTCATCCACAAATACATTAATATTTTATCTCGACTTCGTAAACACTCTCGCTAAATAATTTTAAATCAGCACAAGTGTTTTACAAACGTATTTTGTATCACTTTTGGGTAAGATTAAACCAATCTGTCTTTTGTTCCACTTGTTCAATTTTGTTATCTTTTGTTCCACCAATCCACTTTTGTTCCACCGATATAATTGTTGTCATATATATATACCGATATAATTGTTGTAATAAAAATAATTGAGTATTCAAATACTTTATAATTTTGGTATATTTGTCGAAAAATGTAGTATTTAATAATATACTACCGTTACAAATATATAATACTTTTTCAATTTATTTCAACAGTGAATGCATAGGGTGAATGGTACATTATATGAGCTGTACTTTATGAAGTGGATTTCTAGCAGTATTTGCATAGAAATTTCGCTTGAATATTTTTAAAATATTGGGAAATAACAATACTTTACAACAATACAGGCATTCTTTTAAGTCGGTGTCTAATTACAAACTATGCCTGTTGGTTTCTGAATATTCGGTCAATGTTGTGCATAAACCAATAGCCAAAAAATCAGAAAATGCAGGGTGTAAGAATCATAATTTTGCAGATTTGAAAATTAACAATTTAAAATGAATTTATGAATAAGAAAAATGTTAATTTATCAATCTTTGATAGGACCTTTTTGTCAGGTATTCTGTAAAGTGGACAAAACACCAGACATACTCCTGTCCTAGTTTATACCTTTCAGGAATTGATGTCCATACTCCGGAGACCAACCAAGTGGGAGCAGTCCTCGCGACCCCTCCGAATATTTTACAGAGCATTGGATGAACTGTATGCTCAAACAAAATTAGATACGATAATATCTGTTCTTCCGGGCACTACTCCGGCCACAGTCCCCGAGCAGAAGACCAAATGGGGCCAAACGTCCAATAAAAGCTACAATATCTAGCAATGTAGCAACTTCACACCCAAAAGGCAGACAAGAGTGTACCAATACGGTACCTGCAAAAGCTGAACCATCCGCCTTCTAGTTCTATGAAGACTGATTGTATACCCCCGTGATCGAGGCTGAATAAGTGCAGATCCTAACCAATAGTTTTTACCTGCGTCGACTCCCGGGGGAAGGGTACTGTAAAATGGGCAGGGAATTTCCTACTGAACATGTTCAAATTCGCCATTTTGCCTAATAAAGCCTCAGAGCTCAAAAGGTTTCGAAAATTGAAATACCTGTTCTATATGCTTCAGTAAACCGCAATTGGAAGTTTCTAGCAAATTCAAGAAAAAGTATAAAAAAAAGGCAATTAATAAGTAATACAGATAATATATTCTCTGTTATAAACAGCCTCACCTGCTGTAAAGCCAGGCGAGCTGTAAAGTCGCTAAATTGCTAGTTCGATTCGGGATTCGAATCTGGCAAGCAGGCTGGCTGCATGGTAATTTTCGTGGTTTTTCCCATCTGTAATGTATATATGATGCAGTTTTCTTCAGAAAGTCCCCCATAAGGCATCCCTCCACTTTGGCAGATAGCCTTTGTCATAATCATATAAGCCAAATCTGAGTTTTTGATTCCCGCGTAAAGCTTGGTTGAAATTGTGGCGTCCTTCTTCTTCACTCTTTGCGTGTGTAAAATATCGGTCACCAACCCTGGTGCATCTCGGACAAAGTTCTCTGATGAAATGGTTAAATGATCATTACTTTATGTTATCTCTATCGAAAAATGCATAACAAACCGGTCATTAGAGGGAAAAATAGTAATACCTCCCTGAAACTACCACTAAATAATCCAGATAGTTTTTATTTTTTCAACAATAGTGATACGTAACTATTGATAATATTAAGTATCGTTACTTACAAAATCTTGTATTTCTTATAAAATCTTATTTATGATTTAGATTTTAATTTCACATGTGGTTTGTTAAAGTATTTTGCGCTCTCCCTCAGCTCGCAGTTTACAAATCTACTCTTGTACTCACTGCTGCTAACATAACGTTTTTTGTCTCTTCAACTTTATTACTCAGCATCGTTTCCACACTTATACCACATAAAATTCAAGAAGGTGTTGTCATACATTTTTATGTTTTTTTCGATCTTTTCTCATTTTCTCATATAAATGTTTGTTTTTCTTGAGACGATGATCTACACAACTTGTTTGTCTTTTTATCATTAACCTATATATACTTATTAAACTCCAGTTTCTTTGCACAATATTTTAAAACAACATATTAGAATTCCAAATAGAATGTTAAGTGCCGGCATACTTTTATTTAACTATATTCGCTGTATTATTTCTTTAAAAATCGTATATGGCGATAATATTTGATAGCAATATCCTTTTATTTGAAAAATGATAAGAATATAAAAATGGTACGGACCAAAATGTGAGGATCGTGACTTAGAAACTGACAAAGCATTTGCGGAAATTAAAATAAAATACAAATAAGTTAGCATTGTATAGGAAGATATTTTAAGAAGTTTCAATTTCATTATATAAACACATTTAACATGTAATATAACAAACGATAAAAGTAAAGTTAAAACTATGCAATAATAAGACAAATGTACGCTTAATTACACTGTCAAAACAAACTGTCAGTACATTTATAATTTTTATTTATTTTCACATTAATCGGATTATTGCGGAAACGGATGAATAGGTTATGATTCCTCACAATTTTTCCATCCTGTCTAGCTCAAGGAAAGTAATCCAGTTAACGAAAGGGAGAAAAAATGCAATTGCAAAATACTTAAATATCCCTTTCATTTCTAGATGAGGCAGAAAGCTTATCAATCCCCCAAATCCACATAAAGGAATAGCTTTTCGTTGTCTTTAATGTCTTCACAAACCACAGTGACAAAAAAAAAGAAAATGATTATCATACATTATTCTAAATATTTTCTCATTAAAATCTTTTTGTTGCCATCCTAAAGAAAATAAATGAACAATAAAAGAATGAATAAAAGAAGCGCATGGGACCATCTTCAAGAACAATAGCAGTAAGAATGCACAATTTTAGAAATGCTTAGTTGGGCAAAGACAAAAATGGTAAGAGGAAAAGAATGAGAAGTAAAATAATCAACAAATGAAAAAACAATCGCATCAAGGCGTACTTTTTTTTGGGGGGGGGTACATTTTGGTAATTTTAATTTCTTTTTCTTTATTTTAGTTCGATTTCTTTCTAATACAATGCAATTTTCTATCCCGTAATTTTATTTTTAAATAAAAGTAGCAACTGAAATACTTTTCAGGTATAAATTGACATACCTGATTTTATTATTTTTCACACTTATGTTTCTAAAAGTAAGGAATTAATATATAGTTTAGCGTTATGCAGTTAATTATAATTTCGAACGGTAGCCTTTTTTCTAAACCTAAGACAGACAGGGAAAAAAGAAGAAAAATTATGGCAATGTTGATAAAAACATAAACTTTTTTTAATGTCATTTTTAAATGTTTTTAGAAATACTCTCAAAGGTATGAAATCTCAGAAATACTGTGACTGAAATATGCATTTACTTTTATTTATTTTCAGAAGAATTACTGAGGAAGCGGATAATATTGCAAAAAGTAGTTTTCATTTATAGTGGAGTAAATAATACTCATATATTTTGTAAGTTTCAAACTTACAAGAAATCTTACGTAAAAGCTTTCGAATTGGTTTCGTAATTTCGAACAAAGCTTCGAAAATATATATATATATATGTGTGTATATCTTATATGCTATTATTATAAATATGTCCCATTATCTCATAAGTGAAATTAATCTCATAAGTGAAATCAATCAGCATTGTCTACATATTTAAACTCTAGATTATCATATTTTTTGTTTTTGTGTTTAGCAAGTGTAATTTATTAGTTTGTATTCAAAGAACGATTGTGACAAAACGCGATAATCCCCAAATTATTGCGCATGTGACTAAAGAAAAATTATTTCCAGTAGAAAGGTTAATCCTCGTTTGCCAAATAAACAATAATTTAATTATAATTTTTCATTTTTTCCTATTGTAAAAAAGATTTTAACATTATTGTTTCCTGTGCATATTTCTATATTGTATCATAGACATATTTAGGCAAACGTTAAAAGCATTTTTAATGCTCAGCATTCATCAGCCTAATATGACTTTTATATTTAACGCTTCTAAATTAGTTGAGTTGCATGCTAATTTTATTTACTTTATCTAAGTTGCAATAATATTGAATTACTGTTCCTAGAAGGTAATAATTAAAATCTACTAAATACAATTTATATATATACACAAAGAAATACATAAAGAATTATACATAAAGAAAATTGCATAAAGATTTATACATAAAAAAAGAATTATACATAAAGAAACTTAATAAGAGGCAAAAATAAAAAGCAAAATTTTTAAACCCGTCCGTGTTATACTGG